TACTCAATACTCGGGTCAGTACTAATAGTACATACTATACTAAACATTCCCGTGATAGTGTTCAAAGGGGCTGCGGGAGAAAATGAAACAAGAAAAATCTTTCTCGACCAAATTATTCTAATCTCACTTCAAATGACGTCATCTGACCAGGTGAAAATACACAGCCTCAACGGTCTCCAAATCTACAAAACAGCCGGTCAGGTTGAGCGCAGCACGCACACTCAGTCTGATCCCCACCGCCAGCCTCCCTTTGTATGCGGAGTAGCCGGCATTTTGGATCCCTGCCGTGGTGCCACATACATAACTCTCTCCGATAGGACTTGAGGCTTGGCGGGAAGGCTGTATCGAGTTCGCGCACTGCTGTTCTTCCACATTGACCGTAAGCCTGACATCAACTTCTTCTGCTGCNGGCTACGACACACCGGAGAAACACAGGGAAGTCTCGTGCTGCTGCTTGATGGGGCAGCCAATGATTGCACAGACCCGATGACTTGATCTATTCAAAATGTTCGCCACCACCTTTCTTTTATTGCCTCGCTCCTACTCCACCAAGACTGATTACCCTCCATTCATTTGCAAAAGCACTGCAATCTCTCCCCTCCCATGTAGTACTTATATCACAACCTCCCCTGATACATCCCGTCATTACTCGACAAGCAAGGTAGCAAACATCACGTGATGGTTTTTTTAAAATATCGAAAAGAGCGGGAAAGCANGCTGATTACCCTCCATTCATTTACAAAAGCACTGCAATCTCTCCCGTCCCATGTAGTACTTATATCACAACCTCCTCTGATACATCCCGTCATTACTCGACACACAAGGTAGCAAACATCACGTGATGGTTTTTTTAAAATATCGAAAAGAGCGGGAAAGCAACAAACAGTCGACATGTTTTGAGATTCAAATTCTGTTTGCAAACATGTACGATTGTGTATGTATGTTTGTTTTTCCTCATAATGTACGACACAGCACAAGACTTACCTCCGTTTCCTCTCTCCTACACAACCAAGTTTACTGCCCATACACACGCAAGAGCACTGCAATCACTCTCCCCCCATAATGCATACTTTGCGTCACAATCTCATTTGATGAGTCTCATTATTACTCGTCATACACGCATATCAAACAACACCATGGGTAGAGTTGAAAATCAAATTGAGCGGGAAATCAACAACGAACCACCTGACTGACCTGTTCAGAAATTCAAAAAATATATATACAGCATCGAACGGGTAGTCTTTTTGTGTGTATATTTGTGATTCCGAATATGTACAGCAGTAGCCTTTATGAGTGTTGTTGTTGTTGTCTTCACATTAAAAACCATCCCGGTCTCTCTATCCAGTACCTCCTTCTGTCTCAATCTCTCCGTACTAATTCATCACTTGACTCGGCCAATTTCCGTGGTCACAGGCTAACGTACCTAGAAAAGGTATACCAAAATAAAATGGACCCCAAGGGTCAGCAGAGCGATAAAATACAAGAAAACAAAATATAATCAGAAACAAATAAAATAAAATAAAATAAATAATTAGACTAATGTTTATTTGTTTTTTCAAATAGGTACAACAACTACTGCTGTAATAAACAGTACTTTGTAGTAAATAGATAAACTAACGTATGTCGGTTATTGCATACTGCTGTAGCCTTTCTGCACGTATACTTGTTTTTCCTAAATACTGCTGTAAAAAGCCCCCCTCGAACGACTATGAATTTCGCTCGAACAGGGAGCTTTTATGTGTTTAACGGGTAGTCTTTCTGTGTGCATATTTGTTTTTCCTAATAGACGTATTTTTCTAAATTAAACCAGCAACTACTGTCAACATGACATATTGCGCCGTGTTCCCTGTGCAGGCCACATGTAAATGTACCTACGCAGATGTTTTTGTGCTAAGCACCAACTGGTATCACTGATATAAATCATCAGTGTATAGGCTTAAACAAACTCGAAATAAGTCAAGTACCCAGCTGGTTTTCCTCTACTCACTGTAAAGACTTCAACACATCCCCTTCGAGTGTAGTTATACCTCGAACGGGTAGTCTTTCTGTGTGTATATTCGTTTCTCCTAATATTGACAAGTGCTTCGAGACGGCCCCATGAGGTAGCCGAAGTACCCTAGTTAAAACTGGTGTAATGACGTGCCATTGGTCTGGTCTGGTGCCACGTTCATATGCGTGATTTGTCTTCCGACATCTAACCGCACACCCTAGGTTTTAACCCATCCAATATACAGCAAATGTATCTGTTGAAATGGTAGCATACATGACTGTATGTAGATACGTACCTAAAATGACAGTTGAATAGAGAGATTGTCATAATGATGATGCATGTGTGCATGCTGTAGCCTTTCTGCACGTATACTTGTTTTTCCTAAATACTGCTGTAAAAAGCCCCCCTCGAACGACTATGATTTTCGCTCGAACAGGGAGCTTTTATGTGTTTAACGGGTAGTCTTTCTGTGTGCATATTTGTTTTTCCTAATATATTAATTTTTCTAAATTAAACCAGCAACTACTGTCAACATGACATATTGCGCCGTGTTCCCTGTGCAGGCCACATGTCAATGTACCTACACTACTACGCAGATGTTTTTGTGCTAAGCACCAACTGGTATCACTGATATAAATCATCAGTGTATAGGCTTAAACAAACTCGAAATAAGNAGTAGAGTATGAGAAGCTATACTAAAGTGAAAGTATAGTACAGTATATACTAAACCCAAAGAGTATGTTTAGTAGAGTATGAAAAGCTGTACTAAACCGCATGAGTATGTTGAGTAGAGTATGAAGAGCCATACTAAAATGTGAGTATGAGTAGAGTATAAAAAGCCGTACTATACTTAAAAAAATGTTTAGTAGAGTACAGTGGAGGGACGCTTTTAGTGCCGGTACGTGCACAGAGCGTTCACCGGCACTAAATCGGGCACCCGGCACTATTGCGAATAGTGCCAAAACGGCACTATTGAGGGCTGGCCAATCCCTCACTAGTGCCGGTACCGGCACTAACGAGGTTGTGTTCGATTTATGGTGTAGCGCCCACGCTTACGGGGCGAACAAAGAACGAAATGGATCGACACTATTACTGTACTGTTGAGTGAAGTTCCAGCATGGGCGTGGGCAGAGTTGAGTTTTCTTTTTGTTGTCTTGGGGCGCTCTTTGGTTCTTCATTTTCTTCTGCACCTCACTTATTTGCTTATTTGTGTACTGTCGTCGGGACAAATTCTCTCCTGTTTGCCTGGCGCACCCGCTTCGATGTTGCAAGAAAAAAAAAACGACATGCACGACGGGCAGCGCACCGCAAAAATCAAACAACCGTTTTTTTAGTGCCACAGCTGTTCCCCGCCCTTACTCCGTAGCAACAAACTCCCTCATGTCTGCCTGGCGCACCCGCCTCTTGGAATGCGCTGCAATCATCGCCATCTTCGCTTTCGCTAGGTAGAGCGCCGCGTCTCCATTGCCGCTCTCCTCTGCTGCCGCTTCCAGGACGCCGAAGTGAGACGACAGTTCACCATAAGCCGGTGGGACACGGCGCGCGAGCCCCGTGTTGTCATCGCCGCTGTCCTCCTCCTCGTCCTCCTCCTCGCGGCCGGTAGACACTCGAGTCCCAGCCAGCTGTGCCGTCATGTCTTCCACCTTGATGGCCTCCTTGTTGACGCTACCAGCCTCGCCATGAAGTCTCACGCTGTCGATGCTGTTGCGCTTCACGAAGTTCCTGGCCCACCTTTCGCCGGCCTTGAAATCCTCGACCCTCGCCTTCACTTCCTTAGAAGCTGCTGGATCAGCCAGCAGGGTTGCCCTGGCGGCACGGCCGAAGCTTCGAAGGACGTCGCGCGTGACGGGCATCTTGGTCTTCCGGGCTTTCTCTAGTAGGTCAAGAGCTATGGCGTCCACCTATTGACCGTCAAACGAGGAGTAAACAATAAAGAGGGTACAAAAGATAGCACGATTAGTTTCGAACATTAAGCCTCGTTGCACAGTGCATCGTAGTGGGAAGGAAACATTTCCGGGCATTTGAAAAACCACAGAAGCTCGCCGCTGCATCCGCATGTGTATTTATGTATTGTAACTCGTTTGAAAGAATAGGTGTGCGTGCGATGTAATGTACCAGTACAGTACAAACAAGTACACATTTTTGGTTCGCAGTTTATATGCTGGCGCAGCAGCGCACGAACGATAAAACAACAAAGAAAGTTGAAAAAAAAGGTAACACAAAAAAAGACACAAACGAACGACGAGAGGGAATAAGCTCAACAAGTACTGTAACAGTCGAGAAATAGAAGAAACATGGGGAAAGGGAACAGAGAACAGGGAACAACTTGACAAGAGAAGAAGAAAAAAGAACAAGAACATCAGATAGACGAACAAGGCTACAGAAAAAGGTCCTTGCAAAAACGAAAACTCTTTGCAAACAAGGCCCGGCAAAAAAAAAAAGGCAAAGAAGGCGCGGGAACTACGCGTATTTTTTTAAAACAACAGCAGAGTAGCGCACCTCCGGATTATTGCCTGTGCGCACGTTTTTCTTGCTTCCTCCGCGTCCTGCAGCAGCCTCGGTCTCGTACTTCTTCCTGTTCTTCTTCACATCCCGGACCAACCGTTCCGAGCACTTGAAGCGATCTGCTAGCTGCTCATGAGTCACCTTCTGATCCATCAGCTTCAGCATCTCACACTTGGCGCTGAAATCTGGCCGCGCACGAGGCTGAGACTTGTTACTCCCCCCATTCGTGGCCTTCGGACGTTTAGATTGTGCCTTCCCAGTGCTGTCTGCTGCTGACACTTTGCGCTTGCCGGCTTTGGCGACGCACGCGCTGCAGATGCGGTGATTCTCGTTGCCTACATCAACCACACTGCCGCAAATGCCGTGCAGTCGCCCGCCACATCCTCCCTGGCAGCCGTGACCATGAGGGTCTTGCGGCGTGGTGTCCTGTAGTTGGCACAGTTCACCTTCCGCACAGGGCATGGTACGCCCCTGTGTAGAGCTGTTCGGGTCTGCAGCAGCACGTGTACCCTATTTCTGTGTGTGGAGTCTATGTTTTCTGCCCTGGGTTGTGCGTGTGTGTGTTTCGCGCGTGCGGAGTACCGGCACTATTGGGGGTGACAGCAGTGCCGAACCGGCACTATATCGGGCATGCTTTAATTAGTGCCGGTCTGGCACTATTGAGAGCTCCGCCTGTGTGCAGAGATTTCACCGGCACTATACCGGGCATCTGGCACTATTCAACCGGCACTAAAAGGGTCCCTCGACTGTATTGAAGAGCCGTACTTACAAAAGGTTTAGTTAGTACGAAGAGCTGTACTAAACGCCACAGTATTCTTAGTGAGTATGAAAAGCTGAAGTGTGAATATTACTCTACTGGGCGAAAAGAGCCAGATACTTACTCAATACTCGGGTCAGTACTAATAGTACATACTATACTAAACATTCCCGTGTCAAATTGCTCACGTTCTTTTCAGGAGCTTTGCCTGGGTCAGCTGCAAGAGATGCAGGGAAAGACCCTCGAGGATCCGCTGCGGGAGGTGTCCGCGCTGCAGTACCTTCCCAGCCACCCGAACGTCCTTACTTGCACCGAGGTCAGGCAGATCGTGGCGGTGCATCTGCAATATGCTGTGCTATCTGTTACCCTTCGTTCCATGTTTTCGCTGAGACACTGATGCATGCATCGAAGTGGTGCGAAGATTTTGACAATTTGTTGTGCTCAACAGCAACAAGCAATGTTTCCCTGAACACGAACTTCGTATTTAAACATGCGAGCTGAGATTTTGTTGTGTCTTCCACTTGGAACCGTTTTGAATACAGGCGCTCTTGGACGAGAACAGCATTTATATACTGATGCCGTTCTACAGCGGAGGCGAGGTTTTCGACGTGCTGATGGACAGCGGCCGATTTGAAGAGGACGAGGCGCGACTGCTGCTCCGCCAGGTGCTGACCGGACTACTTCACCTCAAGAGACACGGAGTCTGCCACCGGTGAGCGGTGTGCCGTACTGTACATCGTCGCTGTGCTGTTTTCTCTTCAGCAGCGAGTAGAATTCCTTTCAGAAATTGAAGAGCTGAAAGCGTGTAGTGTTGATTGGTGGCGGATCGGACAACAGCAGGTCCGTACTCGGTTCCGTACGAATGAAAATTTGTGCATGCTGCCTGAAATTTTGAAATGTGGCCCGACATACCGGCACCGGTGGCTTGTTGTGTACTCGTGCCTTCACAACGTTCTTCGCGTCGCCTCATCAGGCACGTTCCTCCCCCGTGGTGCTTACAAAGCACACCCCCCCCCAGCGGCATCAATTGTCAAATGTTGCCTAGCGTGTCGTTTGCCTCCCCAGGGTATGGGAGATGATCTTTCTGTATGGGAGGACACCAGGACACCCGATTCTTCTGTGCTTGTCTACGGACCTTGGGTAGTGCCGCATTTTTGGCTCTTGTGTGTTACTTTTTCTCTTGTGTGTTCTGAGCCCATCCTTGATCACAACTGTTGCTTGCTCACCTGTAAAGTTACTTACTCGAGCATTTTTTGTTCGTCGTCCCTTTTCGTTGGATGGACGGCTAGTATGCAGGGATGTGAGCCTGGAAAACCTCATGTTGACCGACGAGGGTGTGTTAAAGCTTGTTGACTTTGGGCTGGCATTGCGTATCCCCCAGAACGAGGACGGCAGCGCAAGGACTATTCCGCCCCAGGGGGCGTGCGGGAAGCCGCACTACATTGCTCCCGAGGTCTTGGCAAGCAGCTCGAAGAGCGGATTTGACGGGTTCGCGGTGGATGTGTGGGCTTGTGGCATCCTTCTCTTCGTGTGAGTATTGTGTTGGCGATCCTGCTGCCAACTTGTCGGACTTGTGGGTGGCTGTTTGTGTCCTGCAGGAGTCGATTGCTTCATTTTTGATGATTGGGTGTTTGGGTTCAATGAACTACTACCGCCCATTTAGTGTACCTTTTCGTGGAGAGGTCAAACCATCGAGCCGTACAAACTATCGCCACGTTGTTGAACTTTGGCGCCTGCCCAGCAGGATAGATGTTGATTGTGGCACACAGTAATTGGCGACAGCCTCGCTCTAAATGACTCCCCCCATCTCCCGTATTTAAACCCTTCTCCCCCCACCATCCCACTCCATTTCCGTGCGCCGTAGCATGCTGACGGGCGTTGCCCCATTTGAGGTGGCTCTTCCTTTCCACGATGAGCGACTCCACACTGTTGCTGTGAACGAGAACCTCGCGGAACTTCTGTCGACGTGGAATATCTCGTTGTCACCAGAGGTGAATCAGGGGGAGCTTCAGTCTTTCTGCCTTCGCTACATGCGCGGCTCGTGTCGGAGCGTGATTGTCTCGTTCACCCCAATTTGATGTGCAGCTGTAAGGCTGCCGTTCAGTGTTGAAAACATCCGTTCGGTGCGCTACTCGCTCCTTTGTTTGCTTTCCAGTCGGAGGTATGTGTATGGAAAATGAAATTCCTAGCGCCTCTTCCCTAACCCACCCAATCCGACAGCAGTTTTCTGTATATTTTTTCGTACCCATGTTTTGGTGATGTCCTGCGCACGTGGACCCCTTCCCTAACGTGCCCTGCGCCCCCCCCCCTACCTCCGCTCCCCACACTCAATACATCAGGCGACTGATTTGATTCAGTCGTGCCTGCTGTTCGCCCCGGAAAGGCGCCCCAGCCTCGAGGCGCTTGCCAACCACGATTGGTTCAACGCGTGAATCAGGCTGATGGTTGCCGTCCGTTGTACTTATGTGTGTTCCTGGCCGTGACCGATCCCACCTGCTCCACTTCAGACCCAGGCGCTAATTGAGGGTGACCCGGACGCAACCGGGCGACTATTTCGTAGACATATGCTTTGTATTGTTGCGTGTGCTAATGCTACTGATGTTGTAGGGCATGATGAAGGAAAGGGTGGTGTATACGTTGGTGTGGGGGGACAAGTGTGTTTGACGCCCGGCGTGAAGAATGAGTCAAAAACCCCGGTTGTGCGCTTATGAGACAAAAATAGTTATCGAAAATATGGTTACTTTACGAGTGCGTGTCGACGGGGGTCTGTTCGTGCCAATTTTGGCGAGGTTTTGTTTCCTATTTCACCTCTTGCATGGTGAACGGGTACTAAGATCAACGTTGCCGGTGGATCTTTGTATGTACGAGTGTTTAGGGAGGTGCAGGTTGTTTGTTTTCAAGGGGAGGTGGAATTCGTTCCTGCTGAACCACGTTTTTGTATTATTTCACTGAGCACCGTCAAGACCAGTGGGCAAAAAAATCGTGATGACTCGAGTGGCGCTGCTTTGGCCTTTGATTGTTTTGTTTGTTTGGTATTTTTCTTCGTCTCGCATGTCAAGCGTGAGCGATGGGCTCTATCTGTACATCTCCTTTGTCGAACAGTCGCTCGCGACATCTCGCTGTCTGGGGCCTTGTGTTCGTTTTTGATTTGATTTTTTGTGGTGTTGACATACTTTTTATCGGCTGTTGAAGTGCGCACATATCCTCTAGTGGGTAGTTGGCCCGTGACCACAGTAGGTATCCGCGCCGGTTCGGACATTAGAAGGTACTGATCAGAGATCGAAAGGAGTCGTGATATTAAGACAACAACATATTTGCGAGAAACGTAATACAGTCGACCCCGCTTTAAGGAAACATATGGTTTTGCTTCGAAAAATGTTTCCTTAACGCGGGGGAGTTTCCTTAAACTTGAGGGGATCAGAACGCACCATCCCCGGGGTCAATGGTGGCAGTACATACGTCAAAAGGTGCGCCCTGGGCAGGGCATTGTTGGAATAAAAAAAGAGGCTGGGAGTCGGCGAGAAAATAATTGTTTATTGCTGAACACCACCACACAGCACGGAAAATACCTGATGGACACTTCAAATTCACCTGGTGACTCTTGTTAACCCCTGGGGGAGCGCACGCAGAAACTCTCCTGCGTTACTCTCTACTGGAGCGCCATTCAGATACAAGCACACAATACGGCGTATGGCCGACAAACCGCAAACACTCAACGCTACGACTTCCTCTACATATCGCGAAGAGTTGCCTGCAGCTCCCCCCCCTCCTTGGACCTGCGCTTGACTTGTGTTTCATGCGTGAACGAATGCACCGTTTTCGAAAGGAGGTGCTGGGTTTCGCGGTATTCGCCATCCTTTCCATTGGCGTACAAGTAGGAGCGAACACTCTCTAAGCTAGCGCGGACCTTAGCCTCTGTCATCGAAGATGTAATACACGAGGCTAGCCTATCCCCGCCAGCAGCGTTTTTTTTGTTGACGCCAGCAGCGTCCTCCTGCCTCGTGACGTACGTGCCTCTTGGGAAACAGGGGTAGAAAAGCCCCGTCTCGTCCATCTTGAAAATGAACTCGACGTCAAACTCCTTCAGCTGCTCCCGAATCTGCGCAATCTTCTCCTGCACCTTCTCCTGGTCCACGTCGCCAGCTTCCCCGTGCAGGTTGATGTGCTTCAACTGGTAGCGTTTGAGGAAGCGGTGAAGCCAACCGTTGCTCGCAGCGAAGGTGATGCCCATCTCGGACGCGAACTTCACGGCCCGATGTTGGATCATCGTGCCGCTCACCCCGATCTTTGTTGTCTGCAAAATTGTAGAGAGGGAAGAGCAACGGCAACAGCAGTAAGAAACGGACGTCAGCGGCTGCGTTGTAGGTGCATAGGATTTTGAAGGCAGGTCGGTACCATGATGTGTGGGGACATGAAAGGACTGACGCGATCGAAAAACCGCCTTGTTGAGCTTAGCGATGTTGTCGGGCATCATCAGCTTTGTGACGTACCCCTTGCTGACGCCGTACTTTACCACGACTTTAGCCCTGACACCACCATGTTTGACCTCTTTGACGAGCTCGTGCCGCTGCCGTAAGTTGAGCTTGTTTTTGCCAGTGTCCGGCCCGGGGGTTGACGCCTTGCGCTGCTTGGTGGCGGCCGCGGCGGCATTGTCGCCGCCGCCGCCGCCGCCGCCACTCGCCCCACCGCCTCCGCCGGCACCTGCATCGCCTTCGCGCTTCTTGCTCCGTGCCGGCTGCTGTGCCGTGCTGCGGTACGTAGTGGAAACGAAAAGAGACAATAATCAGACTCCATGAGGTGGTCACGAATGTACTTTTGATTGCAGATGTTAGTAGACCACGTGTGTTTTGCTGGGGCAGCAGAGCCCACTATTGCGCAGCAGCGGCACACACGAGTGCACCGGAACATACGAGCGTCTTGTCGTATACATACACAAGGTAACCTCGTGTATGCTCGACAAATTTCTATTTTCTTTGCGCACACACCATCTAACGCAAGAATTTTCGACAATAGAAGAGGAAATGGTTTATGTTTCCCATGCCCACAGCACCAACAACAAAGAACCTCCTGTGATGTGCGAAAAGTATTTCGCGGCGCAGCACGTGCACGCAATATCACAGCAGCATAGACATGTAGTCTACGCGCCAGAGAGAACTGTTGCGAAGGAACAAGTACGATTCTATCCCAGCACGGGCGCCGTCTCACTGTTTCGCCTTCGATTTTCGTGTGTGTGTGTCGTCACACATACCGTATATGACACAAGATAACACACCCCCTGGACCGATTTTCAAAGCTCGATTACTCCACGACGAAGAAGATGCATAAACGAAACGATACATTTTCGAAAAGCTCTCGACGCGGCGATTTCAACACCGCCGTTTTCGGCGCTGTGACTGTTCGTGCAGTTGAAAAATCGAGGTTCGAAAACTGGTCAAGGGGGTGTGTTATCTTGTGTCATATACGGTATTCTACGCATGTTTTTACACATGTTTTTACACATGTCTTCTTTTTGTCGCAGCACAGGGAGTCAAGATTTTGTACAAAAACAACGCTACACTTTGTTGCGTGTGACGTATGAACCCAAATAGGAACGGAGGGCGGTGCATTGACATGTCCTGGATTGACGGTCAATCAGATTTTGGCCGATGCGTGCAGCACTACAGCAGGTAGACGCTCTGCTCTGTACAGCAGCAGTAGATTGCCCCGCTACGAAGGACTGCTGTACACCAGTAAGTCACCTGCTTTTCTCCTGCTCGTCGTCATCATCCACTTCCATGGGACTGCTAGAGCTGCCGGTCTTACTTCCGGGTGCTGTCTTCTGATATTCCGTTCACTCCCTTTGCTGTCCGTAGCCTTCCTTCCCGATGCCGCGACCACAAAACGCGTGCATCCATCGACCGCACGGGCATGTGTGGATACCCGACACGAGCTTCGTGATCGTGCACGTGGGTTCCCCACGCCATTTCAACCCAGGTGCAGAGGACGCACCGTAGGTGAAACGAATCTTTGCATACCGCAGACAGCAGGTGAAGCAGCAGACTTCTCTGCTGGCGAAGACAGAGGGTATGGTGAAAGCGAAAGATTGACTGACGAAGTAAGGGAAATCTCTCAAGTGAAAATCTGCGTTTTGTGAGAAGCGGCAGAAATAAACCTTTGGCCAATCAGAAAGCAGGAAGCGGACGAGCGTGTTGGTTTTTGTTTTCAGTCTACTCGCTTCGCCGTGTTTACCGGGGGGGAGCGAGAGCACGTGTGCGTGTGGTGGCCAAGGGTTGTTTTCTGCCGTGACGTTTCTTGAGAGCACGTGACGTTTCGTGGCGTGATGTATTGGACTGGAGAAGTTTCGCGTCTACGTTTCCCCTGTTTTCGGGGCGACATGGATTCGAATCCAAATCTCGGAAAAGGGCCTGCCGAC